GTGATGAAAATCAACAAAGGAATGGATTTCTAGTAGTAGAAAGGAATGGATTTCTCGGCTCGAACCGGGGTGGTATCTAAAAACATGGTAGCGTGCTTGCATACATGCGAGTACGCGCGCTGTGTGTATATGTGTGTGTGGGTGCGTGTGTGTGTGTGTGTGTGTGTGTGTGTGTGTGTGTGTGTGTGTGAGTGTGTGTGTTATGTGGGTGTGTGTGTGTGTGTGTGTGTGTGTGTGGTGTGCGCGTGTGCGTGAGCTGGTGTGTGTGAGTGTGTGTGTGTGTGTGTGTGTGTGTGTGTGTGTTGTAGTGTTTGTTTTTTTATCGATTGTTCATGGGCGACCATAATCACTCAACATCAAGTAAGCTGCATGATCGGCTGCTCATTGTTCTTTCATATTATTCTCTAATTATTTACAATGTCTTTTTTGTTTTAAAAAGTATAAGTGTGAAAATTGAAAAAAAAACCGACTACATATTTAGGTTTGAGCTTATAACACAAGTCGAATGAAAACATCATCAGAGCCAAAGTCTACATTTAGCTACAGACTCAACAAAATAACAATCATTTACGCTAAGCACACGTCTTGGTAAACGGTCTGTATTTGTTTGGAAAGAATTAAGAAGCACGTGGAGAGCTTGGCAAATATTGGACCAAGTCAAGATGTATGCGGAGCTCTTGGTGCTTAAAATAAAAGCAAATCAATTTGGTAATATTTCATATTTAACCTGAAATTTGGTTTTATTGTAAGAATATAAGGTCTGATTAGCGTTTATGCTCTTATCATTCTTTCGTCATTCTTTTTTTTTTAATTTATTCAGGACAACAAACAATTACATAATAATGCTTAAACCAAATAACATTTTATAAATAATATTAGTCATTATGTAACCAGCACCGTTATCCACAAAGTAATATTAAATTGGTAACAGTAAATAATAAATGCACAATAAACAGACTATAAGTAAAAAAGGGAAAATAAAATAATATTGACAGTACTCAGTAACATAAAAATCAAAATGAGACAAAAGGAAAAAAAATAATTAAAAAAAAATTGCTAGCAGTACAAATTTATCTTGTAAAATATTTAAAGATACTATTGAATATCTACCAACTTTCTTAGAACGTTCTTGCGAAATTGTAACTGTGATGAAGTGAATAGATCAATATTTGAAAAATGCATGTTATATACTTTCATAATACGTCTTAATGGAGCGCGTTCAGCTGCATTGGTTTTACATAGTTTAGGTGCAAACAATTTATGTATATACACGTCCCTAATGCGTTGAGAACGACTAGGGACACGGATATATATTTTGTTAAGTAGTTCACTACAATCTAAATCATTTCTAATTATTTTGAATAATAGTATCAGATCAAAGTATATTCTTTTTGCTTTTAAAGTATGAATTGAAAACTTTTTTTAATAAGTTACGATACGATGATTTAGCGTGGTAACATTTATAATTTATAAAAAGAAGAAACTTTGCTTGTAATGATTCTAGAAGTTCACCGTATTTATTATAATAGGGGTTCCATACTTGCGTTGCATATTCAATTTGTGGTCTGATAAGTTATTTGAAAAGTAGTAAATAAGATGAGGAGCTTTTAAAAAAATTACACGTTCGTGCAACAACTCCGTACATTTGATACGCTTTATTTGTTACATGGCTGATATGAGCATTAAAGGTTAGATTTGAATCGTAAAGGATGCCTAAATCTTTTATTAATGATACTTTTTCTAAGGGACTATTAAGAAAGGAATATATGTAATTGTAGGTTTTTACGTTTTTGGTGAAAGAAATAGATTTACATTTAGGGATGCTTAATTGCAGTTTATTGATTAGACAGTAGTTAGATAACCTGTCAAGATCTTCCTGTAGCTTCTCACAATCATTAAGGTACTTTACACTTCGATAAACTTTCAGGTCATCTGCATACAACAAAAAATTACTATTTATAAAACAAGACTGAATATCATTTATATACAATGTGAAGAGCATCGGACCTAGTATAGATCCCTGTGGTACACCTGAGGATACTAATATTTCGCTAGAGGAGAATCCATTGACCACAACTTTTTGGGTCCTATTAATAATGTATGAGGAGAACCACCGCAATAAGTTTCCACGTATACCATTGAACGCAAGTTTTTGAAGAAGGATGGAATGATCCACTTTATCAAAAGCTTTACAAAAGTCTGTGTAAACGGTATCAGTTTGTATTCGATTGTCCATATTATCAAACAGAAAGTTTGTATATAAAATAAGATTACTGATGGTCGATCGGTGTTTTACGAAACCATGTTGTTCTGGAATTAGTAAGTTGTGTAAACTCGGATAAATTGAATTATGTACTAAGCGTTCAAGGATTTTTGATAAGGCAAAAAGTAAGGAAATAAGGTCTATAATTAGTCACGTCAGTTTTAGAACGGTTTTTAAACACTGGGGTTATATTCGCAGATTTCCAGACTGTGGGCACTAAACCTTCACGCAAACTGCGGTTATACAAATAGAACAGAGGTACGCTTATTGAGCTAGCAGTATGTTTGAGGAAAAAAGGTGAGATACCGTCTGGTCCTGAACTTTTAGTTATATCTAAGTTTTTTAGACATTGTTCTATTGTGTTTTTTGAAAATGATATATCTGAGATAATAAAGTTAGTGTTTGATGAGCAAGGAAGTGAATCTATGTCGTACGTCATCAGTGAGCTGTTCTCATAAACTGAAGTAAAATAGTTAGAAAAAAATTCACATATTTTCTCAGGATTATCGGTTTCATTTCCACCGTGAGACATTACGTTGGGAATACCACATTTTTTTTTATTTTTTTACAAAAGACCAAAATACTTTGATGTCTTTCTGCAAACTTGTTTCAATTTTACTTAAATATGATTTAAAGCACTGCGTGGAAAGTTGTTTAAATCTTTTTCGAAGTACAGAGTATTCCTCATAATCTACTTGGTTAGAAGATTTTTTCCACTTTATCCACGATTTTTCTTTATTTTTAAATATGTGTATTAGTGGGCGTGTAAACCATATTGGAAACTTTTTAGATTTGGTTGGGCGTAAAAGTACGTGTTTCCTAATGATTTTATATATCTCTTCATAAAAGTGGTTGGTGGCAGTGTCTAAGGACGGCACCTCTAAAATACTTGCCCAGTCTACACGTTTAATATCGTCATTAATATCTGCATATTTACCCTCGGAGAATCGGTATTTTGGTAAAGTTTTACGCGCCAATTGTATGTATTCTACGTTGAAAAGTAGCTCGGCGTTAAGTGGTGGATGAAAGACGTCTATCGGAACTAAAGAGTTTAGTGGTGACTTACAAGTACTTGTATCATTATTTGAACTGAAAAGATCTAAGATACGATTCTTATTATTTTTAATTAAATTAAATTGTTTGCAACCTACAATTGATAAAAAATTTGAAACGAGCAGTCATTGGATTTTTGCAGTAATGTGTATTAGGAGTACATGTACTCCCGTCATACTGCAGCCACTCAATGTCGGGTAGATTAAAGTCCCCGAAAATATATATTTTTGTATTTTCGTTGCACATAAGCTCATTTTGGAGAGAGTTTAAAAATAATTGGTAAGCAGTTAAGGGTTGATTTGGTGGTATGTAAACACCGCCAACAGCGTGATATTCGTTGTGTTGCTTAGAATAAAACTTAAGTATCACATAATCAATATTAGATGGGACGTTTATAATTTCGTCTTCACAATGAAAAGTGGGCTTTAAAATACATTGAGTGCCATTTAGCCCCATGCGCACCGCAATCAATACACCTCCACCGTCTGTTTTACCACATAACTCTCGATTTCGATCGCATCGGTACACTACATAACGCGAATCAATGAATTCACTATCTGCAATATTCGAGGTCAACCATGTTTCCGTGAGAATTATTATATCATAATGTTCCAACAATATATTATTGAATAAAGTACTCAACTTTGTCCTCAAAACTCTACAATTCTGATAGTACGAGTATACCTGTATTTTATAAGCCATCTTTATAAATAGTATACGTTTTAAGAATTACTAGTAATCATTTAAAAAAATAAAATATGAAAAAGTGTAAAATTCGAAATAAAAAACATATGGAACTATATATCGCAAAAATTTGTTCGTGTACAAGATTTTTTTAAAAGTAATTTATTTGGTAATAATTGTATTATGTTGTTTGTTATAAAACGTAAATCGTGAATTGTATTAAAATGTAAACACAAAATAGTCATTGTGACGGTGGCCGCAGAAAAATATATGTGGTAAAAGAATTGTCCCAGTCGTAAACAACACATAGAGTAATGCAACACTAAGAGCTTGCAAATAAATCTTATAAGAAGACGTACTTTATTCATATTATTTTTAAATTTGTTACGTGATATCATTATGTTTACTTTTCGATAATTGATGTTGTTATCTTTGTACAGCATGAATAGCAGATGTTTCGCTTGCACAAACCTATTAGTAATAACTATTTCACAAGTATCCTTTGTAAGTATCCTTTGTAAGTTCACAAGTATCCTAAGTATTCCATCATTTGGTATCCTTTGGTTTAATTTTCGATAATATATCTTGTACCCTTCGTATAGCAAAAATAGCAGATGTTTCGCTTGCACGAACCAGTACAGTTCCGCGCTTGATCCACACAAATCTATATCCGTTCTGTTTTGCAGCTTCACGAGTTTGACGAAACAAATTCTTACTTTGAATAGTTAAGTGCTCATTGATATATATATTTTGAACGGTTCCATGCATATTTATTTGCTCTGTTGTGATTCCTTTTGATAGTCTTGCTGCAGAAACAAAGTTGTCACGCGTTGCTTGATTGAAAAATTTTACAATTACGTTCTTCGGGCGTGAAATCTTAGGGTTCATATGAGGTACACGATGAATTGTAACTATGTCTTTAGTAGAAATTGGTTGCTTTATGACTTTAGCAATATTCTCCAGTATTTGTATTAAGTTCTCGCTTCGTTTTTCAGGCAGATTACTTATCTCCATATAACAATTTCGAGATTTTTTGTTCAAATTCAGCCAGTTTAGTTTCTAATTCAGAGATTCGTGCCTCGAAGACCGGTGTGGATTTCAGCTGCTGTTCTATTCTAGATACGCGCTTGCTGACATCATGAGTTCTTTTGTCTAAATCATCGTATTTATCACTGATAAATTTCAGCGTAGTCATTAATAAATAGAAGGGTATTAAATTTTGTTTCTTGTTTTGAGAACCAGGAATCAAGCCTGTTAAGTAAACTGCTTTGAAGAGTTTTAAATTCTTGTTGTAGATCGGAAATTGCAGGAATCACGCTACTACCTTTCCGAAATGTTATATAAGAAGGAGGTGATTCATTTTCAATAAATGACTTGTTGACACTCATTTCTCCGGGTCTTAAATCTTGTTCAGTTTTACACTCTTGCGTAAATGTACTGTTTACAGTTGTCATGTTTATAAATTGACTGCTCTATTATGAAATTAATCTGTGCGAAGTCTCCAACGATGCGTTCGAGTGATGTCGATATAGCATTAACGTTAAACTCCGATGCTTTACACGAGACTCACACATACGCACGGCACAATGTAATTAGTTAAACGACCGACTCGCGCCGACGCTTAAGACGGAATGATTTTACCGGGGTTATCGTAAAATGGTGGCCAAAAAACCTCATGGTGTAAAATAAAATGTGTAAATATATATGTTATAAAATCTGTAAATATATATGTTATAAAATATGTTAATATAATAAAATATGTAAAATAAATTATATTCAGTGGGACCCACGTCGGGAAGCAGCGTCAAAAGTGCTAAATATCTGCGATTACCACTACACCTACTATGGAATTCGTCCAGGAGAGGGAATTTAAGGTACGTATCAGAAGACAGACAAGGTTTTTTAAGGCAGTAAGTGTATGAATCGAGTCTTTCCACCTCATGGTAAATTGATAAGTTCGCCTATTGACACCTACGTTTATTCCCCACCACGAATCAAAAAGCTAATGTAGTTTTTCATCCAAATAAGATTTATAGTATAATTTTTACTCAATAAAGATAACAAGAATACGTATTAAAAGTCATTTATGCTGTGGCGGTGCTGTCGTCGCATCACACATCGAAGCCTAAATCGCGCTATCAAAGCATTGAATTATAATGTACTACGTACTAGAGAAGACGCCTCAACTCGAATGTTTGTAACACGCGTTAGAGCGCACGCACTCCAACTCACTTAGTCTGCCGGCGGTTGCCGCAACGTCAGACGTTTGAGTGAAGAATTGTTTTTAAAATAATATGGCTTCGTGTGCATTGAGATATTGTTCAAACAACTCGAGAAACATAAGTAAAAGTCAAGGAGTGACTTTTCACCAGTAAGTTCAATATATTATCTTTAAAATACGCTTAATTTAATTATATTTTATCAACTGTAATATAAATGTGAATGTCAAAGAGTAAAACATATATATCGCGGTAGGAAATGTTAATGCATTAAAATTAATATTTTTTTTATTTGGATTTAAAGGTTTCGTCGGCCGTGTCATGACACAAGAGAATCATGGATAAAATTTGTTCAGAAGAATCGCAGCGAAGAAACGTGGTTACCGTCAGAATATTCACGCAAATGTTCCGTGCATTACAAAGAAAACAATACCACAAAAACAGGAAGACTTAAAGAAATCTGCAGTACCATGTGATAATGTAATTATATTATTATATAACGTTGCTGGAATTTTTGTGATATTTTGTGATTAGACGACGAACGATGTTTTTGTAATATTCAGTATATTTACGGAACTAAAGAGGGTCATACTAGTTATATGACTCGCGTATATGGCGGTTTTTACGAAACGGTATACCGTGCAAATGGTTTGCACAAATGCTTAATTTGCTTTTATTTTAATATAAATAAATATATTTGTAAATAAAAGTAATACTAATAAATGATAATGTTGATGATTTTTGATATTAAATGTATATTTTTATATTTCACATATTTACCTATTAAAATATTAAATACCCTTAAAATGTAATTCTGACATAATATTTAATTAGCACATATACAAAATAAGAAAACAATTTAAAAAATTGTACTCGATATAATTAACAATACAATCTAAATAAACAATTATTACATACTGACCATTCTACTTACGTATAATCTATAATAACAAAAACTGACCGCGCAGGCGCAATGCGCGTTTATACCAACTGCGCATGCGCGACTCTACTATTCCCGCGCATGCGCGAAGACATAGAGTAGCGCACAATTTTTGTTTGGAATAGCTTCTCTAGTACGTAGTACATTATAACTCAATGTATCAAAGTTCCGAAATAAAAACGGTATATATGGAATAGCTGCGTACTACCGCTCAATGCATTGGCCGCTCCCCGGGCAGAACACCTTGCCCGGCAAGAGATCTCTCCTTTTCCTTCCTCCGCCAAACTGGTGACCCCGACGTAATTTGAACACACAACAATGCAACCTTCAGAAGCTTCAACTTCAAGCTTCGTCATCGAGTACCCCCTCCATTCGCTCGCGAGCAGATATCGTCTGCAGTCTTGACATCCTGCGAGTCGTTGTCAGGTAGACGCTACTGCTCATCTCCCGGTTCGTTGACCTCTGTCGTCTCTTGCGACATCCACACCGCAATAACACAGCTTCGCGCTACACTGCAGAGTATATCTTTTACAATAATTTGTTTTTCGCAAAAAGCAAAAAGTTTAAGCAAAATATAAGGCATTTACATTTTTATAAGAGAATTTTTAATAAACATAAAAATGACTTTCAATAAGTAAGTTATACTTACCTGTTTATTTATAATTTTGTTTTGTTTTTTATTGCATTCCTTAAAGCAAAATAATACAAAGAGCGGTCTCAATGCCTTAGGCATTCTCCACCAGTCAACTCATGGGATGATGAGTATTTAACGTAGGTGTAGCAACGTAATATACAAAAATTTATATTTGTTTATTCGTATTTTATGCGCTGCCATACCCTTCATCTTGTATAATAATTAACTACGTAATATAAACACTTTACCAACAAGTAAACTATACATACACAATATTATATAACCTATTTTTAATCATTATTGAATAAGAAAGTTTCTATTCTACTCTGAATTATTAAATAAATTTTAAATAACCGAGCTTAGTATTATAATAACGAACTTGAATCATGAAATTTTTCCTCATAATATACAATGAATTCATTGTTCTCCCTGTTATAGTAATGGGCTTGTAATTTTATCTTAATAAAACGATGTCTAAGTCAGAAGCTCAATTATGAATATTACCTTAAAATTACCTTCCTCTAAAATTTTTCATCAAATTATACATTGATTAAAAATTTTATTTTATTGCCTTAATGAAAATAACATTATATTTAGGTGATACCAACGCCTTATCCCGGCTTCGCACATCTACAATTGATTTTTTTATGTAAGAATGGGACACAGGAAGTCGGTGGATGCAGGTGGCTCAGGACCGTGCTTTGTGACATTTCTTGATGGAGGCTATGTTCAGCAGTGGACTTGTAACGGCTGTAATGACGATAATGGTGATGATGATGATGATGATATAAGAGGACCCAAACGATCTTCCGTCTTACCTGAAGGTTAATGACTACACCGCACTAACTGCAACACCGGTGTGTTTTAGCTGTCAAGGCTTAATCATAAAACGTCAAAATTTCTTCGCTTCTTTAATTTTTGTGATTTTCCTGTTTCACTATTTTTATTTTGAAATAAATATATGTAATGTTCATATTTATTTTAATCTGTAGTTTTACCAAATGATAACAATCGCAAGTATAAACTACAAACTATATTTCTCCACCACTCATATGAAATATGCATAAATGAAACGAAAACCTTCTTCAATAAATACTTTAAATGATGATGAAAACCGCATTATAACCATAAAAATTTGCAAGTTAGCAAACTTTTTGCTATATTGCAAATTTTGCTATATTTTCACTTTGAGACAATATTTATGGATAAAACTTACAGGAATTCTTGTTGAATGTATAAACTATCGAATAAAATTATTTTTGGTTGCTAGAAATTGTAATAAAATACATAAATTACCCTGTATAGCATAGTAGTAGTATATACTTCAATTTAAGTGACAAAATTACTACTAATTTGAATTCTACACTTTTGTTTTTGGAGAAATTTATATGAAAATGTTTGGAAATATGTATATTTTTATGTTTTATGTGTTTCTATTCGTTACTCATACCAAAATATTAAAATATTAAAAAATTAAAAAAAAATAATTATAATTTTATCTGTATGACATTTCGAACAATATTTCAAAAATATTTTTTGTGTTAATTTGGAATAAATACAACGTCAAGTTACTTGAAATATGTAAGAAAACTATTTTTACTTACATTTTACACTAAAAATAAATCAGAATTTGAAAAATAACACATTTATGACCCAACCGCTAAAATGGGCCTTCCGGATTTTGAAGTACTTTTGGCAATTTACTTTTCACGTTTTATACCACAAATTATATATCTACGTGTTTACTATATTACAAGGAATATAAAAAGTATAATACTTTCGTTTTTAGTCCAGACACAAATATAAAATACTATAAAAAGACGGAGCACCTTCATCAAAGCGACATGTGGAACGCCGAAAGTTCAGAGTGATTTCTTTTTTTTTTTCTAAGAAACATTGCCAGGTTATGGTTTAAAATAAAAGAGCATATCTTTTTCTTTGATACTATTATCTATTGCATATTGTCTTTCGTTTTGTTTTAAAGGAAAAAATAGTTTTTTCATAAGGCAGTACTTCTTGGTACTTCTGATCTAATCCGACCCGTACTAGAGCCGACGTAGGTATTGTATGATCTGATCAGACCCGTAGCCGAGTGAACTACTTTCGCAGAACCGCAAAAGTACTTCAGAATATAATAATATATTATTATAACACACAAAATCGTTTATACTTTAAAACTATAACAAAAATAAACTCCACCATAGTTTTCATACCCAAATATATTATTCGAAACGCGAAAAACGAATAATGTATTTTTTTTTATTAATAATCCATGCGGTGAAGGGCAAAGCTTTTAGTCATCAGATAAAAATTATCCAACAAAGTTTTAACTACTATTCTGAAAGATATAGAGTGCCAGTATAACTTCAGGCTGCGAGGCGTCCCATCTTAGTTCTCAGAGGTGGCAACGCATCAGTAGACTATTGAAAATGTAACGTGGCTGAATATAAAGGTGAAACAATTGCACTATTTCATTCACACAAATGTAATTTTATTATCTATCATCCATCTATTATAGTCTTTAAAAGTTCACGGCGGAACATAGGGCCCCCTATGTATAGGCAGCGTGGCAAGTATGTCAAAATACCCATAGGTATTTTGACATACTTGCCACACTGCGGTTAGCAACCGCAGTTCTTTTTATTGAGTTGTTATCAGGAA